AGCTCTATCTAACCATATATAAATCATCGAGAAAAAATGTTAACTGAAATTTTGAGTTTTTTCGAACTTACGTATATATCATAGAAACGATAGAGGATTTAGATTAGTAATTTGATTTTAATTGAACGCAATCAACTTGTTAGACCGATCACCTATATTCTTATGGCAATTTGTTAGTAATCAATAAAAAGATACATTAGTCGTAGCTTACGGTGATTTTTGAATAATAAATCATCGTCTGAAAACGTCCTTTGACATACATGAAAAACATAGAAAATAGTAAAAAACGTCATCGCGTTACGTAACATGATTTTAAAACACAATCTTTTTTGAATAAAAATATGCGCCTCAGATAGCTCGTGAAAAACTAGCTTTATACGTATATTTTTTGTAAAAAAAGAAGTTGAGAATAACAGTTGAAAAAAAACAATACTCATTTTTCGTTACGCGATGACGTTATAAATAGGGTAGTTTTACTGAAGCTTGCTGCAAAAAAGTATAGCACATAGGAAACCCACTGTTACGGAGAAAGATACATCTATTATCATAGTCTTAATTAGTCTTAATCAACTTTGTATATACCAGACTGTTTCGATATACGGGTTGGGTGAACTCATGCTCTAAATAGAGGAAATTTTTCTGTCTATTAGTGGCCTCTCTGTTACCAATTATCAAATGCAATTTAAAGCATTTATTCACGGAACGAAATAAGTTTCTCTACACTTTAGACCATGCTCTATAACATGGCAATAATGATTTCGTAAGATATTGATTTCGAACTCCCGGTCATTGAGGTGACGCGTTACGCGTATAAGCTGATATACTAATTCATCGTACTTATAAAAATTGTGCATCTTTCAATCGCTATAATAACTCGCACGAGTCAAAACATCTATGTATTCAGTTTTTTAGAAAGTGCCATTGATCGTACTTTGAAAATACTGCTGTTTCTATCGATATCCAAAACTCGAATAAATGACCTGACTTTCGTTGTGCGAAAAACAACATAAAGAAAGATTTTTCCGCGAAATGTTTCTTTTCACAAAGGTCATTGTTTACCCTAGTCGAACTTTTTTATTCAAGCGCTTGCCAAGACTTAAGTTCAAGATATGTCCATAGCGCATGACTTTCTGTTCACAGACAAGCGCTTGAACGCTTGCATGAGTCATGTGTCAAGAACAAGACACTCATGCGCAGGACTCATGAAGATTCTATGAAGGAATAGTTTGAAAAGAATCAATTTACATAAAACAACCACGGTTTTTCTATCCAAGATGCACTGACGATCCTTAGAATTTACACTATTTAAATCTGATGATTGATGTGGATTGTCTTTGCGTTTTCGCTCTTGAAATATTTGCTTTTTTTAAGGATGAATATTTATTAAAAAATCGGTCATAGTAAACGTTAAACTGACAGAAAAAGACAGAACAAAAATTAGTTTGGAATAATATTAACTGGATTATTTTCCGTGTCTCCTAATGGAGACGTATTGCTAATATTCGTATTGGCACACTGTAAAATACCTTTTTTTTTACAGTGTACCGTGCCACATGGAACATTTTCATTTAGTAGCTGCTAGTTAGCGACGTCTATAGAATTTGCAGCTAAAACGGGAAAAACAAGTAACGTCTCTATTATGCATAGATTTAATACTTGCTTGATCAAGAAACGTAAGCGCTTGAACAAGAACTCAAGTACATGAGTAAGAATAATAAGCCATGAAGCAAGAATCGAAAGCACTGGAGGTTTTTTTGTTATCTCAAGTCTTGACTCAAGATGTGTCCATAGCGCATGACATTCAGGCTCAAGAAGCTCAAGAATGTCATGCGCTTGCAGAAAAAAGTTCGACTAGGGTTGTTATTGATAACACTGAATATTTGCATACAAAAAGAAGCTTTTATTGTTTTCTTCTATCTGACCCAGCAGATTATTTTTGTCGTTCTTTGTTTGATTAAATGTTTCATTATAAATGATACTGTCTCAGTAATACATGTGCTATGAATTTTTTTCATTCATCTAATCGAATATGCCCATTTTCACATCGATTTCTGTTATTACTAATTACAATCGCGATAAATGTCTTTATTTTGGCCATAATCACCAGTCTCAAAAAACTCGACATTGAAGATTAAGTATTGAGTCTTTCAGAATGTCGACTGTGCAACCAATATTCATGTGGAAAAGAACTATTATTTTCTTGAGACCATTGGTCATTATCACCATAATTCTATGCCTAAAATACAGCAACAGGATATTTCCTTCACTCATGCACCTACTTTACTTAGTATCAGTGAGTTCTCATTCTTTCTAACTTGTAATTAGATTCCTATGTTCGAGAACATGATGAAATTTTCATTCGCGATATTAGTTTCTCTATTGTCCTGTTCTTCTCCTTTGGCTTGTTGTCTATGTCTTCTATTATTTTTGAATTTGACTACAAATCGAAGTTTTGCTATTTCACTTTCAGATTTTTTCTGTTAGACTGAGAACATTTATTTTCGATCTTAATAAACTCTCTTCGTAGCTACTAAAATAACTCTAGCATATGTTAGACTAACACAGGTAATATCAAGAGAAATCGGTACATTCTGAAATTCTATGAATTTAAGATTATTTTGATTATTTCTTCGATGCTTCCTATCTTTTAAATAGATAAAAATAGTTGAAATGACAAGGAACAAGTGCAGGTTTGGAATCCACAGCATCTCAGTACCTTGTAGTAAGATTTGGTACTCAGATGCTGCTCTTATCCCCTTGCGAAATTCTCTAATGCAATAGAAGGTCTAATTATCCCATGCATCGATTGAAAATGTTGCCATCGAAGATATCTATTTTTATTGTCAAATAATACAATGTCATATACGTTTTTTGTAGGGAATATTTTACATTATAATAGTTTAGAGATTGCAGTGAAAACCTTTCTTTTCAATGCCTATTTTTTTTCATTTCATTTTTTGAATTTACAGATGTTTTCAACAAGTTTTCGTCTTACATCTTCTTACGACAATCATGACAGCTTAAATTCACAAGAAATTAATGAATCAATTTTAAATCATTTATTTCTTCCTCATGGACTATCATCTTCGGCATATGCTGATTATTTAATTCAATCCAATCATCAAAATGAATACAAAATACTCGAATGTATGAATGAATACTGGCAATCTTTAGATAGAAAGAATGAACTACCAATCTTATCAATCCTTAGAACATGTACTGAACGTTGGTCGATTATACAGAATACGAAAAATTGTTCTGTTCCACTTTTACAATCAATTATACGAAAGTTATCACCAGGTGATTTTCTTCCTCTCTATTTCCATGCTCAAAATGCTGCAATTTTAATTGAAATCGATGAAAATCCTCTCAATCAACCATTGATCTCATCTTGGCAAGTATTATTACCAACAGAAACTATAACATCATCACTAGAACCGCATCTTTCTTGTTTTCCTGTTCCTACATTTCGCTTACCTGATCAATCTCAGCTATTATCTCGTGTCCATTGTGAATTACTTTTGGAGTTTATGAACAATACAATTGAATATTCAAAATCTTACAAGGCATCTTACACATTCGATGAAACTCGAGAAGTGCCCATATCACATTATGTATGCCAATGGTGGATCACACACTTTCAAGACGTTCAAATCGACAACCAAGTCAAAACATTCGTTTCGTTTAAGAAAAAACATCGCGATCAAATTCGATATAAGAGTTCGGCATATCCTTTTCGGCGTTCTGGTTTATGGATGACTATGAAAGTTGTTTTTCAAAGTATTCTAACAAAACGTTTAGGAAAGATTGGTACTATCGTTTATAAATTACTTATTACGGATTTTTTAACTTATTTTATTTCTACAAGAGAAAAACTAATAAATTCTCGTATATCGACTGATCTTCTTGTACATTGTCTTCGAAAGATTGTACGACGATTGAATAAAATTGAAGTTTTGTCATCATCGAGTGATTTGAACGATGTGGATCCATGGATGGAAAATATACGAGAAGAAATTAAACAGAAAATTGATCGTATTACTCCAAATTTCGATAGGCAAAAATCCATCGAGAAAAATCAAAAACAAAATATACCAAAATTTCAATTAAATCCAGATCAACAAGCAATCTATCAACATTCATGTCACAAATTGAAAGCTTATCTTAATAAGAATCATTATAATACTTCAAAAAGACAATTCTATGATAGTTATGATTATAATCATTCGACATTGACTAGTGTTGCTTATGAAGGCGATGAATTGCCTCAACTTTCGGTCTTAACCAATCACGATGATGATGCTATGGGCATAGCGTTGACACGTATTGAAATTTGGGTACAATCCTGTTTAGAACAATGGATCAATCGCTCATTACTATCGAAAAATGGATACAAATTTTTTGAAAATTTACAATCCTTTTACGAAGATTATCAACGTGCAGCTTTAGATTTTTATTATTCGAACAATCAATCCACTGATTCAATTGGTTACAGTCGTTTTATTTTAACATCATTGACAATAATACGTTTGATGCATATAAAACTATGTGAAGATACGAGATTCGAACGATTAAAAGTACATGCCATTCGAATTCCTCATCTTTTGAATCTATTCGAATTTTTAATCTTACCCAATCGAGACAATATGATTCTAGCTCGAGATTTGTATGATTATTTTCTAGAATTCAATGAGAAACGATATCCCGATCTCTTAAGTGATATCGATTCACAAAGTGCTTTTGGTGTTCATTTTGCTGAACAATCAGTAGAAATCAATGAAAATCTACAAAAGATTCAAGAACAAATTGAACAAGATAAGAGAGATAAAATCGAAGAAATAAACAATGCAAAAGAAAAATATGAAGAACTGATGAAAAAAGTCAATGATCTTAAATGTGAATGTGAATCGAATATTTATTATCCATACCAAAAATGTGATCGATGTACTATCATAAAAGAAGCGGATAATATCAAAGTGAATATTTACGAATGTCCAATACCATCTGAACGAAGAAGTGCTTTAGCTGTTATGTTTGAATTACAAATGCCGAATGAAATTCGATGTTATCGAGATATACTTTGGCAATTTGTTAATCGTCCGAAACCAAATCCTTCGAATAATATGCATGAATGGTTAAGAACTCGTCCGCATCAAAGTAAACTGGGACAATATTTCAAAGGTTCACATAATTGTAAAGTAAAATTGGTATCTACAACTAAATCGATAACAGAAAGTCATTATTCAACTGCACGGCAAATCAAATCAACACCTCTAGAAGACTATTTTTATGATAATGGTCTACAAGTTCAAATATCTCCAACTAAAATAAATGAGTTTCAAGATGAATGTCGAACATTAACACCAGAACTAACAGATTCAAATTACAAAGATTTACAATTTTCTATTGATAACACAGAATTCACACAAAATCGAGTCATAGCTGAATTATCAAAGTGCTCACTGAAATTAAAGTCAACAGAGTTTGTTGAATTTGGTTCATTTCGTTCTGGTCATCGTTTACAATGGTGGAATCTTTTAAGTATTCTTGAATTAGATTCATTATCAATGGATGAAGAAAGTGTTGTTATACTCATAACACATGCACTTTTACAATATGGTCCAGTAACAAAAGATCGAAAATCATTGATTTGTTCATGGTGTCCAGAATCACATCAAAAATTATTAGAAGATCATTTTGTTGACGAATTAATTATGAGATTGGAGCGTCATTTAAAAGATTGTGAATGTAATTGGCAAAATGAATTGATGTTAGTAATTATAACAGTGATTGTCATGAGAGTATTCACTATATGTAATTCAACACGAAAAGATCAAATGACTAATTTAGTTTTAAAATGTCGTAAAACAGCTGAAAAATGGATTCAACTCATTTCGAAAAATATTCAAAATCCATCTTTACCTGATTCTGATAAAATAAATGCATCACGTGGCAAAATGGTCATGATTGGTATAACGTATCTGCTGACATATTCAATATACACAGATAGCAGTAATATTTTAGTATTAACAAATCAAGACGTTATTTCCTTATTGACAATAGCAACAACTATTCATGACAATAATATTTTAAATAAGAAAACAATCCATATGCGTGTATTTATGAGAAATTTGATGCGTTACAGTGAATACCTTTTATTATCGATTCATCCAATCATAAGCAAACTCCTTGAAGAAAGTTCCTACGAAAGTTTAAATGAATTTTGTGCTATTCATTGGGCAGTAGTACGAACTAAAGGTACAATGAATGGTAAGTGGAAGAAAAGAAACAAAGATATATATGATGGTTGGTATGATGGTGAATATGAATCGAGCAAGATATCGATTGATTGTTTAAGAGGAAGATTTTTTGTCAATAAGATGACAATTGGTTTTTTACCGGATAGAATAACTTCGGACGAGTTATTTCGTCGTATATTTGGTCAACATATTTTTGAAGTACAAGCAGCTGAATCAGAAGATAGTTATATTACAAAACATGGATATCATACTGATGGAAATGTTCACTATGAATTCACTTATGATAATGGATATTATGGAAGCCGGCAATTGATAGTCTATGAACAGTACGTAAAAACAAACGATAAGTTTCAATTGATTCCTCCTAGTTGTTTTGAAACAGAACTACCTGATATTTTGGTGTCGAACTATAGCCATTGGTGGAATGAAAACAAAAAAATATTAGAATTTCGGCCTATTCATTTTCACGATCCTAATTTTTTAAATGATATACACTATATATTAACATACAAAAACAGACTGATTATCATAGGCAATACTGAAAATAAACAATACCTGATTAATCGATTATCAAAATTCTTTCAGAACTTGTTTCAAAGATACTTCGTCCGTCTCGACGATGAGCCTTATGTATACATGTTAAGAGAAAATGATGTTATTCATATTCATCTACCTCGATTAGGCATCGCTTTTCGATACAACACACGTGACAATATAATAACCTCTCGTGAATATTCCGATATGTATATCGATGAAAATCAATGGTTCGGAACATTGACAGGTTTGACATCGGGTCTTATTCTTTCACCAATAGCAGTAATTAATGAAACAAATAAACATTATTCATGTCGAAAATTAATCGTTCCTTTTGGACAAGTTCAAGCAATCAAGAAATCCGATCACAATCATCAAATTGTGACTATAGAACGAAAATCTACATCAACGTCATTTCTTCATCAATATTTTGTTTTTGTTTTGAATGATCGATTACGTATTCTTCAACCGACTGATAGTCCAACAGGTTGGCTCTATTTAGCATTGTTACATGCAATGACATCGCATCCTTTACTCGACCAATATACAGGAATGACTGGTATGGAACGTTCTTTTCAATTATTGCATTCGGCAGGCTGTTGGTCTGATCAACCTTATGATTCAATTACTCGAAATATTCTTCTTCAAATTGCAACTATTTCTCCCAAAGTAAATTTTTATCCAGAACATCTCACGTGTATGGTAAAAATAGATTGGAACGAGAATAGTTTACCGTATTCTATGCAACATTTCGGTTATTATTTGATAGTAAAAAAACTAATTGAGACAAGTGAAGAATGGAATTTCGTGCATTCATCATCCACCTCAGATGATGAAATACAAAAACTCTTTCAAAGTAAAAAATATAATGAAAAATTATTAGCTAAACTCTATTGGGACTATCGAGATTCGTACAATCCTACAGCTCGATTATCTGCACAGATGGAAAAAGAGATTCGTTGCGCAAACTCGACAAATTCATATGAACCGATCTGGGAAAATTGTTATTCACATTCAACAAACTACAGTCCTCTTCGCCTTGTAGATCATTTATATAGTAGTGGAGATGTAAATTTGAAAAATAGTGAAGAACTCAGATGTTTTCCTTTATCTCGATGGCTTAAAGATGAATATCAACTTAAAAATATTTGGATTGGTTTGTTTAAATTCGTCGAACAGCTCAAGACGGTCGAAAGTGATCATAAAAATGATGATATTGAACGATTTGAAATGTTACTAGATTTTCTACATTACATTTCCGGTAAATGTTCGACCAAACCATTTTACTTGCAGATGCTTAAATCCATATTGAAAGCACCAAATTTACCATCGGGATCTATTTCATACCCTGAATTTACTCGATACGAACATATTCAGGAAATTACATT